GTGAAAAGCCACCAGGACACACTTTCAACAGCCTCCTTAGCATCTGCTGGCACTACATCAACTGGGTAGGTGGATGCAAGACCCACAGCACCTGTCCAGACCAGGAACTGAGTTTCCTGTGTGGGCAGGGGGGCAATGAGGTCTGTATGGAGTCCCTGCAAAGAGCATCCTGCACAGAAACAAGCAGTCCCCCTAGGTTGCTGTGAAACCACGTTTCTTTGTTCAGGAAATTCTGACTTCCTCAGTTATAAATAACATTCTCCTTCAGTGGACACCTCTTTGCCAGCAGCATCTCTATATTTGGACCTTACAACACTTAGTATAAATAAAAACCAAGAAATCAAGACTTTGTCCTCATGCTTGCTATGACTTTGCTGAACAAAACATATTTTCTGTGTATTTCCAGTTGTCTTTATCCCTTTCCCCATTCATGTCTGATTATGTAGACTGAAAGGTTTTCTATGTTTTCTACACTATTATCATCTCTCTCTGTCCTGACAATGCTTGGGGTGTAAACACTGGTGTCAGGCTCTATACACTGCTGGGATGAATTGTGGGCTCCTGAACACAGGCCTGCACAGTGTGAAATAGTATAAAAAGAGATGCTGTAATATAAAAAAAATTCTAACAGACATTTTTCTTAACTGAAAAAGTCAGTAGTTTATAGTTCCTCTATTTCCAATGAATCAGCTGATCCATACTGCTTAAAAAATCAGCAGGCAGTAGCTGGTCTAATGTAATTTAGGCATCTTCAGAGAGATGAGCAGTGCATATTACTGGAAAGAATCTAAAAATTAAAACCCCACCTATTATGTGATAGGATGGCTGCTGGAATAGCGAGTGTTACCCTGGGTGAAGGAACATTTGCCTGCACAGGCATCATTATGAAGAGCCCAACGTGTGCCCTTCCTAAAGTTATGGATCCTTCCAGCAACTTACAGTCTCTGTGCCTTGCTTCATGTTTTAAGACAGTGCTTGTCAAGCACATAAGCAAAGCTTTCTGATTTATACTACATATGAAGGCAATCAATTTTTGTATTAGCACATGTTTTGTCCTATTTTTGTTTTACTGATGAACCTGACAAATACCTTTTTTTTTTTTTCTTTTCAGAAATAACATACAAAAATCTTATTTTCATAGCTGTTAATCTGTCTATGCATCCTGCTAGTGATAAAAGGTTCCACTGCCAGGATGAGACAATCCAAGTCTCTGGTATTAATGCACTAAATCTTACATTTTAAATAACAGTTTTTCACCTTGGAAAACTTCAAGAAAGGAACTGCTGCAGTTTTCAATTTCACTCAGCTGGGGATGATAAGAGGCAGTGTCTATTTCCACATAAACTGAGAAAAATGAATCTCATTCTTTTTGATGATGTAGCAAAGAAGTAATGACCCTGTGGGATCTTATTACATGGCTGAAAAGTGAATTAACTTTGGCGTAACCGTATCGAGTGAATGACTCTAATGATCTGTTCCCTAACTCTTATGGGTGATCTCATAACAATGCTCTCATAATCTGGGAGTACGCATGGGAGCATAAATGGATTTTGCTTTCCAAAATTCAAAGTTCATTCTCAAAGGAAATCACTGAGACACTTTGTCATCACATTGCTGAGGGAAGCAGTCATTCCTGTAGGTGATGATGACACCTTCTGTGACAGTGATAAAGCTGGTCCAAAGCACAGGCATTCATGCATCACCATGAAAATGTAAAATTGAAGGTGGCCCTTGTGTGACAGAGAAGGAGGAGTTTCTGTCTTCCTCTGACTGGTCACCTTATCCACAGGATAGGCTTTTCCAGGCAAAGCCACTCTGCCTGGAAACTTGTCATAAACATGAAAAGAAAATGAGCTGGAAGTTAAAAGGCAGAAACTTTTCACTTTTACAGGGGAGGCTGGGTTTTTCAGCAGAGAGATCATTGGGACTTTCTGTTAACCACTACTTCTGAGAGACTTGAAATTGTGGACATTAAAATTCATTAGTCATTTATGAGTTAGAAGATGAAGGTCTAAGTCTCTCATTTTTATTTTCTGACAGATAAATATTTATCAGAGTTTGAAATAACTCTGTCTAGGATTTCTCATTCATCAAGGTTCAGAGCAGGGCATAACACAGAATTATCTTCTTGTGGCTCAGTAAATAAGTATCCACAGTGTATTTAAACACACCTGCAGTGTGGCTGACTTGCCCTGGGTCAGTGAGTTTCTGCACAGAGCTAAAGCCCCTTGGAGACTGGCCCTGTGCTTCATTCTGTTTGCTGCTTCCTTGTCCTGGAGTCTCAACATTACTCACTAAATTTGCGTAACACTAATTAAGGATGTGATCAGACAAAGTAATCAGCAGTAGTTCTGTCGTGCCCTGCGATTATTTCAAGTTGAGATGTGAGTAAATATGCGATTTCAACACAGGGATTTTAATTTTCTAGCAGCAGGATTAATGAGTTTGCTTTGCATTGGTCACCAGTGACGTGTGAAGTGATGGAAAGCAGAGGCAGCACAGAACACTTGTCCATGGCCACGCTCACCCTGCTGCTGCTGTAGCCTCTCCCCTTCTAGATCTTTTTGCTTCAAACAGTTGTTTACCACAGAATCCTTGATGGAAGAAAGTATCATTTTGGAGATTAATTTTCTGGCGCCTGTGAAAAGACCAGCTGTTGGGTGACAGGCTGTCAGATTTTTTAAAACAATCCAATTTTAAAGGGCAAAAATACTATGTCTGACAGGAGTAGCAGCAGTGGTTGTGCCAAGCAGCTAGTACAGCAGGTGGGTTCTGAGATGCTACAGCACCATATGCTGTCTGCCACCAAAGCTCTGCAGCAGGAGATGAAACCTAAAACTGAACGAATGGAAATGTAGGTAAAGAGGTGTCACTGCATGTCCTTAGCTGCCCATCCTGTACAGGGGCCTGGAAAGGGCAGGAGAGGGGTCATTCAGCTATAGTCAGCCACAATTCACTCGTTAAGGAATGAAATAATTTTTATCCTATATTCACCAAGAAAGAGCTGGACAGAGAGCAAGAAAATAGCAAAGCCAGAGGGGCCAGTGTTGGAGCTGGGTACCAAATCTTCCTCTGCCCTCTGGGGATCCCTCAGCTCTCACACTCACCAAGATGATATTACTTACCAAGACCTGTTGCCAGCTTTTTGAAACATAGACAATAAGAGGACTCTGAGGCAGTAATATGCATTATCTGAGCAGTCCATGTTTGAAATGTTGGTATTTTTCACAGCATTTTCCTTACCTGCCTGGGAATAATAAAACTGGTAGCAGTCATTTGAAATAGCAAGGAGCGGCTGTTTGCACTCTTGCCCAGCATAAATCTCAAACCACTTACAATAGCAGCACACTCAACCTGAGCTACAGCTGATCTCTGGTGATAAAATCTGATTTCCTTTCTGATCAGTTTCCCTGAGTATGCCTGGAGTATTTCCAACACAGTGTCTTTCTTGAGGAAAGGAGTGAGAGACACTGAAGCAAATCTGCTGAAACATCATTTGGCACTTCTAGCAGCACCAAGGATGGAAAAACACTTGGCAGAGACTTTTGCCTGTACCTTGTGCTGGTCTTCCATGATAAGTGTCACCTTTGCAAGTGTCATAAACTGTGGTAGCATGTTCATGGCTGTCACACTGCCCCACCAGAGAGGGCATCTGATTTTAGTTCAGAGAAATCAGTCAAGACTGATGTTTCAGAAGTCATCCACTCCAGTCTCATTAGGTTGACTCAGATTATGAACGGATGATTAATCTTATTCTTTTCTTGTCATCTACCACCAAAAAGCTCTATCACTTTAACCCCTTCCTGAAACCTCCTTTGACTGATCTGATTACTTTCCTGGCTCCTGAAGTGTTTTTGACTCAATTGCTTGACTCAATTTTTGACTCTGATTCTTTTCCTCCCACTTTTTCTCCCTTTGCCTGTTCTTCTTTGTCATACAGATATTGCTTTGTCTTTTCTTTCCAAGTAATGGTGTAGAATAGAAGAGCACTGGAGCAGAGATCTTGCTGTCTACTTTCCTGGAGGTTAAAACGGAGCAAGTCCTCCACAAACTTAGTGTGCTACCACATTATAAATTATAAAAATGAAAACACTACTTGACATTGAACAGACAGATAAAAATGCTGAGAAAATGGCATATTTTTTAAGGACAGAGGGACACTTCTGATTTTGTTTAACCTCCTCTCAACACAGGCTGTAGAATATTATGCAATCACCTCCACATTCAATCCAATATTTTACGGCAGAACCAGAACTGAATTTCCTTTAGAAATTTAACCAGTTATCAAGATTACCTCTGGGAAAGCAACTACCCCAAATCTATGTGAGGCTGCATTTTTCAGCAGTCAGGGATATATGGCTACATCTGCAGATGCTAATGATTAAACTCATTTCCCTCTGTGGACCCTTCCTAGTTTCTCCTTAAAGCCTCTGCCATACCAGCATTTGAATGGGGAAGAGAGATATTAATTAACATGTGTCCATGTCTAATTCCTCAAGTGAGAAATGAGAATGATCCAAAGGCTTGGAGAGAGACTATTACTGTGTTAGCCTAGAATTTGGGAATTTCCCATTTTGTTATAGCCTCAATTTCAAACTACATCTGTGCACTACATACGAATGGATTAGATGACTGCAAAAAGAATCACTAATTTAAGACAGAAATGCAAACATTTTTGACATTTAAACATTATCCAATAAAGGTGCATAACCCTTCTATTTGACAAAAATGAATACTAATGAGAACTCACATATTAGAACCCTTCTGGGGTAAAGAGATGAGGGAACATTTTTCTATTATTTAATATTTTTTGCAGCAAATTAATTCATTACTATGCTTCAAAGATGGATTAATTCTTCACAGTGGTGGTCTAGATATTTTTTTTTAATTCTATTTTTTTCTGCTGCTACTGCTGCTCAAGTAGCCACTGATTAATGCAACAGAATATTCAGCATTGCAAATGAAGAAAATACCAGAGATTATGTACTTTCTACCTTCTCAAAGGCCAGCTGCTGTCCAGCTCAATTTATCACCTTCTCCTCCTCACTCCCTCTTCAGCCACAGGCTTCTTTGACATGCTTTCACTTCAGTATATGTTTTCTCTTGCTCCAAGGGTAATGTGTCCTCCTCCTAAGGAAGCCTGGTAAAATAAAAAAATGGCTGGAAAGCTTGACTCACACATAAAGTGAAGATCTACATTACCAGTGTGCAATAAAAATGACACAAAGTGACACTGACAGTGGGGAACCTAAAATACTCCCCATTCCAACCTTGTGCATAGAGCTTGGGCATACTCAGGAGTGAGATTTCTGGGATCTCAGAGGCTGACCTTTGATTGTGTCAAGTTTCTTTGTAAAAGTGAGTTCAGTTGAACTTGATTTTGGTGGTGACCTTGCCAGACTATGAGCAGGGCCAAGCTTTTTGTCTTTTGTTCACCTTTGTGTGGCTAGGAGATGATTTCTAGCAATGTTCTTCTCCTGTGCAGCACATTGTATATTAGGGTAGTGACCTCAGCTGATAACCTTGCTGTTCCTGCAATTCAGAAAAAAAAAAAAAGTTATGTGAACAGAGAGAACATTAAAGAAGGAGGCAGAAAGGTTAAAAAATATAAATGTTCACTTGACAGATCCAGCTCATGTAGCACTGTGAGGTAGAATATGTATTTCTACTCCTCTTAACAGCTTAGGTATGGCTGTAGAAATGTCATGTAAATGGTCTCAAAAACTGAATACTCTGAATAAGCTAGTTCCATGCCATATATCAGGTTATTGTTAAGCACTGATAATACAGTCCCTTCTCTCATTTACTCCTGCTGAGGATCTCTCTCTGGCAAATAGTGCTTCTTTTGCAGTTTTCTTCCTTGGCATCCTGGCCCAATTCTGCACTCAGGTTTTTTCCATGCTTCCAATTTGTCTGTTTGCTGTCAGCTCCCCATCACAGGGGTATTGGGCCTGACTGAGATGAGCTGATCTTCCCAAGGCAGCCTTGGAGCTGTGCTTTTGTACCAGTAGATGGAAAGGTGTTGATAATACAGCAGTGCTTTAGCTACTGCTGAGCAGGGCTGGCACAGCATCAGCATCATCATTGTCTCTCCAGCATTCCCCCCATGGTGGGAGGGGACACAGCCAGGACAGCTGATCCAAACTGACCAAAGGGATATTCCATATAATATGATGTCTGCTCAGCCACACAAGGCTCCTCAGGCAAGTTTGGGCAGCCTGAGCCCTTCAGCTACTCCTTGACAACAAAGGCAACATATTCTGTCAAAGCAGAAATCAGCCTTGCAAGCTCTGCTAGCAATCAAATCTTCTGGCAGGAACTGAACACAGAGAAAACAGGATATTGCAAAGGTGTCAGAGGACTTGAGAGGTCTGGTGAGACTGAACCTCCTGAATCATTTAGACCTTCCCTACGCATATAGAGATGAATTATCCAAGGAACTCTCAGTGCTTTGCACAGAGAAAAACCCAGTTTGTGCGCTTTGGCAGAGCTCCACAGAAACGGAAGCACCGGGGAAGATGGATGAGGGACACCACAAAGGAGATCACTGAGATCACATGGCTTTCTCCACCAGATATTCCACTGCCATGACTGGGCTTTTAAAGAATTTACAACACTGTGTTCAAAACCTTTCCGCAAACCAGGAGAAATAATGTATTTTTTCCCAAACAGGAACAATGTTTTTCCCCTCAATAAAGTAGTCAATTCAGATGAGAAAAAAGAATATAAAAAGGTTATTTTGCTTGTAGTTATGCAGGTCATTTAGCCTTTTAGTATCTATTAATTATTCTTCTTTGTCTAGGCTCATTATAAAATATCCAGCTGATACTGCTATTCTCAGTAGCCTGAGGAAGATACTTTGATGTTAAATGCTGTGGTATCAGGAACAATTACAGAGTTGGCCTGGGTTTTTTGGCTTGTGTTTTGTATTTGGGTTTTTGTTTGTTTGCTTATTTGGTTTTGTTTTAACTCCCTCCAATTTAACTCCCTCTCATGTAGTCTGTTGTTCATTTAAGCTGAATTGAATTTGCCAAAACTTTGTACTAAAGCAAGTGATACTATTTTTCTGTTCTGTAACAAGCAAAAACAGGGTGCTTTTTTTCAGCTACTTTTTTGGTCTTTTCAGACTGACCTATGAAACAACAATTTTCTGATCCACTTCTTCAACAGTAATTGTTCCTGCCCATCTTAATCACCCAGCATACAGTGTGTGCCTGAGGATTTATTCCAAGTGATTAAGATGATTTCCCAAGGATGTTCCATATGATACTTATTTGATTTACATCTCTCTTCATTTTCACTATTGTCCTCAAAATTACAAAGGTTCAATACAGGTTTTGTTTTTAAAGGAAATTATGCTGAGAACTTCTCACTGCATTAATGCTTCTGATGCTCAAGGATGTTGGTAATTTGTGTGTATGTAATTACAAAACTCTGGTTTGCTTGGAGCTTTGTCCTTTTATTCACCCTACATAAAATGTTAAGAATAGCAGAGCCACAAATGCACTTCATGGTATTTCTGATACTTTACTGAATTGAAGATAAAATCTAATCATTACCTTTGTCATAAAGCAAATTTCTTCCTCTAGAGAGATGATGAAAAAGCTTTTTGTGGTGTGCTGTCTAATAATTCAGCTGGTCACAAGGCTTCTGGATGGCCTTACACCTGGAACACAAAAATCATCTGTGTTAATCTGAGGTTACTGGTAGAAAAATGAGATATGAAAATGTCATAGCAGAGATAAAAGGATTGGATAGGGGCAGTTATAATACCTGGGATAAAATTAAAAGTTTTATCTAATTTTGTGCTGTAGGGTATGAAGTGAACACCAGTTTAGTTCAGGATTAAGTCCTTCCCCTGAACGTCTACCCTAGAGCACAAATGGTGACTGATTGGAATAGTCAGTGACATGGCTGCAATTTTTCATCTTTCTTTGCTGAAAATTCCTTCATCATTCTCAGACATTTAATGAACCAGTGCTATCTTGTGGTTTAGAAATTCCCTTATTTTGACAGACTTGACATTCCTGTGTCCCAGCAGAGCTGATTACAGGTTGGTCCTGCATGGAGAAAAGCCTGGTGACAAATCTCGGCTGCAAGGACACATCTGTATCAGTTTGCTAAATAAAATGGGACCCAAATTTCATAATTCATCAGTACATGGCCAAATAAGTCATCAGCTTGTGTGGGATGTAGATATGTGGGCATTTTAGAAGTACCTTGATCTCTTTTGTCACCTCCTTTCAGGTGTGCTCTTGGAAATGCAAAAAACTGGGGAATCTTTGAGTTCCTCTGGAGCTGGCAGTTCTACAGAAGTTCGGCCAAATATTCACCACATGCAAAGCAAAAGACATTCACTAATGTGAAAAGGCAGGTGAATTTGTCAGAACTACTCCAGTTTATGACACCTGAAGTTTTGACCCTGAACCGATGGATGGATAAAGCAGGTCCTTTCCTTGCTTGCATGTCGAGTCCCATTTATTTGCTGACTAATGCAGAATGCAGAGAGGCACAAAAGCATCCATAGCATCTGGAAAAGCATCCAAAGTCTAGTACTCTTTGCCCATTTTTCTGAAAGGCTGGTACTATTTGAGTGCCTGAATTTAGAGATATTCTCCAAAAGTCCTTGGAGTGTGGTATCAAAAATCTGAGAATAGGAATCAGCTCTAAAACATGGAGCTTTGAGAATGCCTAGAGAGACCCACAAAATGTTAAGTAAGAAATACACCCACATTGACTTCAGTGTGTCCTAAACAATTAAAGTAATGCAAGTCTGAAGGATCAGACTGTGCTACAGAGTTGGCACTTGCTGTCCCCACACCACTGTGACAGCCCTGCATAGCTGAAGGAATCTCTTACAGCCTTTTGGGTGCTATAATCCTAAAACAGAGCCACAGCTGACCTGGGGGATCCAAGCCCATAAACCATTATTTGGCCACCTGGGGTTTAAACAGAAAATATATACCAAGAACTATGTAGAAAAAATATTATTCTCTTGCTATCCAACTAGTAAACTGGTTATAGAAAAAGTTCTAGTTCTTGGGAATGCCAAAATTGTATCCTCTGGTACCTATTTAAAATTACTCAGTCTAGGCGGAGTCTGGGCTGAGCTGACACAGCTCAGGAGCTCTCTGGGTCTGTAGCAGCATTTTAACACTGCACTTTGTAGGGTAGATGAAGCCCCTATCACAAATGGGAAGACAAACTCCTCTAAGAGTAATTTGAGGTTTCACAACCAAAATGGTAGGTTATTATCCTTCTCAACTACTGTTTTTAGGTGACATTTGCTCTGCAAACAGCACTGAAGTGTTCAAAGCAAAGGTTTAAAAAAGTATCTTGCTATGAAGACACTTGAACTTCCATTTTCCTGTTGTCTACATGTGGGGCCCATTCAGTCTCCTTCCTGTTCCCTTTTTGTGACTAGTGTAGTAAACTAAGCCTGAAGGAGACAAAAAGAGATTATAAACCCAATTTATTTCAGAGCAAAGCAAATAAAAAGGAGTACAGTCCCTAACTAAAATCTTTTTAAGTCCCTCTATTTATTTCATATCTACCTTCAGTAGTAATGAATAAATAAAAATTTGGCAGGAACCATACCCTTTCTCAAGAAACAGAATCAGTCATCCTGTGTGCTGACGCAACTAAGAAACATAAAATTGATGTAAAGGAACAACAGACAGTGTTTTTTCTTCTAGAGAGTTATTTTCTTGCAATGGAAGCCAATTAGTGTTGTTCTCTGAAGAAACATGAAAACATCAGAGAGAACATTTTTTTGTCTGAAAGGAAACAAAAAGAGTGAAAATAATCTGATCTAGAAAGACATTTTCATGTGCCTTCAAAAAATGGATAGAGACAGAAAAAGAGACTACTGTAGTTTTCCTGACAAACATAATGCAACTTTACTATTGAAAATGCTGGAGTTGTGATTTTTTCCATTAATATTTTGTACTGAAAATGTTCTGTTTCAGACAGTGTCTCACTTTGCCAAAATTTTCCTGCCAAATTATTTCCTTTAAACAGTGTAGCAAAGATGCTTCTAAAGTATTGCTGCCTGTTGAGATCAGGAGTCCAGGTAGGAAGAAATGTTATTTTTTTTTTTTTTCAAAAGTTCTTGCAGGAAGATTTTTCCTTGTCTTCATTTTGAAGTGGACTTTTTTGCTCTTCTGGAATGCACCTTCCTGTCTCCTCAAAAGACTCCTTGTTTGCATTAGTGTAGCCTGAAGACAAATGTGACCCTGCTCTGGGAGAAGCCTTAGATCTTGCCTTGGGATGTGGAAAAACACCAAGAGCCCATGGAGCTGTGAGCCTGTCCCTGTGCAAGCATCACTCATGGCCTGACACAGCCAGGCTCTGCTGCTTCTCCATCAGCCTGGAGGGACTGAGCCTCAGAAGGAGGAGGTAAACAGCCCATCTGCGCCAACAAGCATTTGGATTGATATTTGAACATGCAAAAACTGGACGATTTTGCAAACAAAGCCAGAAGGAACATTGGAGATGCACAGCACCAGGGGAATGGCTCCTCTGAGGAGCTCCAGAGGCACCAGCTGGCAGGGCAGAGGGATCATGGTGATGGAGATGTGCAAGGAGCCACAAGGCTTTCAACATTTCCACAAACATCCAGGGGGCATTTGTAGTGTCCAGGGACAAATTCAAGTTTGGACAGCTCGCCAAATTCTGTCATAAAGGAAGAAATACCAAACTAAAGAAGTAAGCAAGTTCTTCCTGCAGCTCAATGGGCAGTTTTGTGGGAGACAGCCCTAGCTGCCATGACATTTCAAAATTTATTTGGTACAGCAAGTACAATCAGAAAAGCAAGAAGGGACTAAATCTTCCAGGTCCTCAGCTGCAGAGGAAGATGTTCAGCAAATTCCAGACAGCTTCAAGTGATGAAACTGACACATTTTAGGGAATTAGCACCTGACATCTGGGAATTATAAACACACTACTGAAAGGCAAGAGCTGGCTATATTCCTTCCATTATCCTGCTAATACACAAGGAAAAGGTGAATTAATCTTGTTGATCTTGCTGTTCCTAGTTGACCATGATTTTTTTTTTTTTAAGTGATAATTTTATTTGCTTATCTAGATTTTGGAAGTATATTAACCACCTTCATTTTTTTGGCAACAGGGAGGTTCTCCTGATTTGTCTGCACAGATGGCTGGCCCATTGCTGAAGTCCTTCACTTGGAAAGACTCAGCCTTAAAAAGCTGATGGTGTCAGTAAGAGAAATCTTGTATTTCTGTTTTTTTCTTCAACAACATGAGAGCACCAAATTTATCACTACAGAATTGATGTGATTTTCTTGATCTTCCCTCTGTCTTAAAAGATTCTGGCTTTCAAAATATAATGTAAGTATTTGTTAGGGTATCTGCAGCATGAAAGAAGTCAGACCTACAGCACCACTAAAAGATCAATGGACTTGAATAAAATCAGCATAAAAGTAGCATAAGTACCTTTAGCAAAAACATAGCCAAAGCAGAACAAGACCATTGGTTTCCTTGCTGATTCAAGTCATGACAAGTCATGACACTCATAATTTCATTTTAGAGATTATTTGTTCTCACAGCTGTAGCTGTAACAAAACATCTTCCGTGCATCTCTCTACATCAGAGATCTAAAGTCCTCTGCAGGCCTTAACAAGGAATTTCTTGGCTTTTGAAAAATTAATTAAACTTGTCAGCACACTAATATATTAGTTCAAATTTTTTATGACACCTATGCAAATCTACTTAATCTACAGAGAACATGAGTCTCCTACATGAAAATTCATCACATCTAATCTGATTTTGATAATACTGTATGTGTATTTCAGGGTTTCCTGTTTGCTTGGCTAACACGGACTATTATTCTGCAACCTCCAATCTATAGTTCTGGTTGCTTTTCTGACTTGATTTGGTAACAACATTTTAGAAATGCTGAGGTCTTTCCAATGCCTTAAATCCAAAACAGGGGTCATGGGAAAAACTCTTATGCTTGAGTGTAACCACAGCAAAGTGAAGCCTGGGCCAGAGATAATATCTTTGAATGATAAAGGAAGCAGATTAAACACATGGGACTGTCCAGAGACATTTACACATAAGGCAGGCCATTAATGGGCAATGAACTAATGATACATCTTCAGAAAATGCTTCCTCTGTGCCCAGAACCACTAACAAGATACATAAGAGGCAGACATTCAGCCACATATTAGCACTGGACTTGGGTGACTTGTGTCCCAGGATGCCCAATTTAGTTGATATAGCAGGAGGAGCTGCTCCAGACAGCAGGGCAGAGCAGCTGCTGCAGAGGTGGCAGTGAGTGTTTCTCATCATGTCATGGAGGAACTGCACCATAGCAGTTTAATACGTCAGATCTGAGTGTAAAATTTTGTGATCTGCTGGGTGCAGTCAGGGATTGAAAGCATCTGTCTGTGCTGTGAGAGGCTGAACATGTGATGGCACACAAGCACTCTCCTCTGGGACTGAACTAAATGAGAACATAAGCAATTGAAAGGAGAAACAGAAACACTAAGGCAAGAGAAAACAAGTCAAGGTGCTACAATTGTAAACACTTCTCAGTCCTTTTGTGATATTCTTCATGTGTGTACCCTGGACTGGTTCTGCTGCATTGTTCTGTTCTTTAAAACACAAAGAGTTTACAAAGAG